AAACCAAATTTGATCACGAAAATCACAAATACACCAGCTGGGATTGCAAGGACTGGAAAGCTAGAGATTGAAACCAAAACTGGGCAAGGCGAGAGAGAGATCCTTGGAAATAGTATAAACAAAAGGAAATGATTTTCATACCTTTGTTTACGATCTTGGATGTGCTTCATCTGAGCCTTGTAGTGGCTCTCTATGAACTGCTTGGCTGCAGCCACCCTCTCCAGGGTCAAGCTGGACCCCACCTCTCCGGCCTCCTCCTCCGCCTCTATAGCCATGGGCCCCACCTCGTTCTTCTCCATCTGCTTATGGTTCTCCATGCTCCCTCTCTCTCTCTCTCTCTCTCTCTCTGTGTCTCTGTGTGGCTTGAGAAATTTGGATGATTGTGACAAGTGACAACGAAGCAAAAACCCCGGGGACGAATGAGAATATATGAGACCTCCAAAAACAGGCTTCTACAACCAATTTTTATACTTTCCTCTCTCCAACGTCTATTTTGTCTACCTGACATGTGGGCGCCTCCTATTGGGCAGCTCCATGGGTTCCGAACGGTTGCACTCTCTTGGGTGGCATTTCTCAGGTAGAGAGAGCATGTTAAATATATATAACTTTTTATTTATATTCTTTTGCAATTAATCTATATATATAGCAAAAAACAGAGAATGGTGAAACATTCAAAATACCAGAAAATGCCCTTGATTAATTCAAACATTAAGAATTAAAATTATTAATTAAATGAGAATAATATGGTAAATTCATATTTTTTATATTAAAAATAAAAAATAAAAAAAATCATATAATATGCCCTACTTTAATATTTGCATTAACTGATGACATTTTTTGTTATTTTGAATGTTTTACCATTCTTTGTCTTTTGCTTTATATATATAGAAGATAAGTACCAAAGGAAAGAACAGAAATAATAAAAATCTGGACTTGAAATTTTGAGTGAGAATGATTTTAAGTCATGTTCTTAATGCTGCAACGGCAAAATATTTCCTTATGTGAAATTTTTAAAAACGGTGTACAAAATGAGGTGTGTGTACAAGTGGTTTCCAGATACAGAAAATCAATCTCACAGTTGGAAAGAGAGTTATTATTAGCAGGCATGTTTGGAAGTGAAAACCAGTTGTGCACAAATCTTTGCTGTTGCTAGCAAATGACTTGGATGTGCAAGGTTTACAAATGCAATTATTTTGACAGTAATTTTATCTTCAAACGTACATTCTTATCTGCCTGTTTACATTGCAATTCAATTAATCATAGTCATCAATAATAATGAGGCTTGACCAGAATAAGAATGTGCTATAATATTGACAGAAAAGAGTTTAACACCAAACCCTTGCAGGTGCAATGAATTTTCTTGATGAGAGTCGTTCTAAAAGGGCAAACATTTCGGTTCATGAGTAAGGGAAAATGTTGAATCGATTAGAAAGAATGCAGAAGTTGTCCTAAATGAATGTTTATAGAAAAACCAGGGAGCTACCTTGATGTTACCATATCTATATTAAACACGCATTCACAGAATACCATATAAACCATATCTTAAATGCTATCAGAATGCTCAAGGCAAGAGGATTTAGAGGTTCTGCCTTCTCACTGAAAGGCTTCTCTTACTGAAAAACCATCAAGCAAAACAGAATGCTCAATGTGGCAATAGTCGCTGGACCTTTCTCTTCGACTACTTCATTTTGTAATAATCAGTTTGCTTCTCCATTATTACAATGTTGGATTGCTTTGGTGGAATTAGGATTATTGTGGCTTATACTTGATTTACCCAGTTGCCAGTAGTAGTTTTGGAGAATTAAACAAACGTCTAACCTGGAAACATAAAGAAAAACACTTTTTCAACTGATATGTGGCAAGTGTATTCTTTTATCGACGGTTTGTAGGATTTAGCAGCGGTTGGCAGCGGTTTTGTCACATTTAGTGACGAAAATAATGTCCGAAATTTGCAAAATGTCTTTAGAAACGGAAAAAACCGTCGCTAACCGTGGGAAATACAACTTTTACTAGCGAAGATAAAAAGCGCCGCTAAAAGTTGGCAGACTTTTAAACGCTTCCGCAACTCCTGAAACAAAGAAATTTTGGACCACAAAGTTCGGAAAACAAGAAAACATAAACCTCCCTTTATTCTTTTATGTTTATATACACAGTTAACATGAAAAATATTACAAAATACCGACCAAATTATTACTTGATACATGAAAAATGCCCCAATCTGTCCAACAAACTGGACATGATGGGAAAAAATCCAGTAAGTTCCTCTTGCTCTCCTTTGTAAAGACTTCTACAGACATGGATGGTAGCAACTTCTTGCATGTTATCATTGCTTAATCCTTCATTGAAAATTTGAAATGGTCCCTCAGAAATTCCAAAGCCAGCTGAGGTGGAATATACCATGTAATCCTAGGGATGCTACCTCTGAGCATCATGCGCTGTGTACCTTCCGCCATCCATTATGCTCCATATTGGATTCACTACAACATTAGATAGAAACCGAAAATTCCTTTCCCATTGACAAGTTTTATACAGAAATATGAGGTCAATATCAGATATTCTGGTTTCTAAGTCGAAAGGAAAATTTTGCTCTATAAAATTTCCCTTCTGTAACTTGACACTCATGTTAAAAGCTCAGTTTGGAATAGCAATCAACGCAAAATTTACTGAAGCATAATATATGACTATATGCTACTGATAATGTGTCCCTAAGATTTCAAATACTCTGTTATCCGAGGATGACATATAAGTTATACAAACATGGTAGGAAAGGGTGCACTCAAAGAACAGCTATAGAATTTTTAAAAACCTCAATCATTATACAAAGGATAAATGGTTTTTGTGTCTGTGCGCCTAAGTGATCAGGGTTAGCAAGCATAAACAGCTGAGTCAATACAAGCACCAAGCCTTGGTCAAATAACCTTAAGTACACTAACGCTACGTTATACTGCATGTGATGCTTGCAACAGATTTAGTCCTACACTAACAACTGAAAGTCATTTAAAACCTGAAAAAACACAGAAGCCTGCCTGTATTGGGAAGGAATATGTTATCTAGTAATTTTCCTTCCCCATCTTGAAGAACATGTTCAAAGCTCAGTTTGAAATAAGATTCAACTTACACTTTACCCAAGCATATTACTAAAGCTAAATGCTGCCATGGATAATCATTAGGGTTGAAGATCAAAACCCACACTCTCTTCTACGATAGTATACGGAATTAGGGAGAGGAATCGGACAAGGACTTGATCTATCACTATTACCAATACCATAGAGGCTGCCAGATTATCTTGCACACAACAACACTGCCCTTGAACACTAAATTTTTGGAAACAGATGTTTAGCTTTTAGAAGTTCTCCAGCTAGGTTTAGTTCGGCTAAAAACTGAACTGTTGCCAAAAATTTAGTGTCATTACCTTCTAGCTAGGTGTCGGAGTTTGTAGACAGAAACTCTTGTGCAAATGTAATTCTTTTATTCCAAAGCCAGAATATAGTTCCTTCACTAAATTTTGACATGCTAAGAAAAGTGCCTGGAAAAATAACCACGAGAACAAGAAATTAACAAAAACAAAAAGAAAGCATACTTACTGAAGAGATAGAACGGGAGAGAGGCAGGGGCTTAATTATTCAGACCTGTAAATAGCATCCTTGTCAATGGCTTCTGTTCTGCAACTGGCAAGGCAATTCTGGGCATTCTAATGACATAAAAACAAAATATACCGAGATTATAATGAGGTCAAGAATCAGGTGTTCAATTCAAGCTGTTGTGCTAGTAGAATGATAAGGGAGGTTTACCTCTTTCAACAAAACGCGGACCAACCCTAACCCTAATTTAGTAACGAAGATGAGTTTGTTGGTGTAAATTTTTGTTGAAAAGACCCACGTAGAGATTCTAGAAGCTGCGACCGGAGTCGGCATGGCCGGAGAAGACGGTGGAGGAGAACGAGGAGATGAGGTTCGGGGACTACCGAGTCGGCCGAGTTGGAACCGGCGAAGAGGATTTGCGAGCGGCGAGAAGAGACACGATTTTTTTTTTTGGGAAAGTTTGGGAAGCAAGCCCAAACATAGAAAAAGTCATTTAGCCCATTGGGCCGTTACAAACAGCTCTAGGCCTGGGAAAATGTTAAATTTCTCGAAAGAAAAATAAACTGATTGTGATTTAAAAGGGTTTTATTTATTTTTTATTTACTTTTCAATTGTTAATTTTGTTTCTGATTTTGACATCCCAGATACACAGTGACACTAACATATATAAAATTGGAAGAAAAAAAAATCATATATGAAATTGGAGTGAATGTGATTGTGATTGTGATTGTTTGCACACCATTCCAACCGAATTCAAAACCCGATCCTAATATTTTTGTTATTGATGATTTTGTCACATGGGCTTTGAAATGCTCAGTTTCATTTATGTGGCAGATGAGATGGACAATCACATCAATTAAAATTAATTTATTATTTTTTTGATTTATTGATACTTTTTAATTGATGTAGTTGTCTACTTCATCTGCCACATAAAATAGTATGAGAATGTGGTATACAAATATAGTAAGAGTATTCCTCTTACATTAATTGATGTGGCCTGTATAAATCAGCTGTCACATAATGTGAAATGCTATGTGATCAAGTCAGCGTGCTCGTATAGTATGATTAACCTATTAGCAAACTATTTGCAGGATCTACTGCGACAACATAACTGTGAATGCTTAGAGTAAATAAAATTTTAATGCTTGTTTGTATTAGATGAGAAGCTGCTTTTTCTTATGGATGTTTCTTGGTTTAAATGTTCTAATTTAGGTAAGATATTGGGGTGAACTAAATATGATGTGATAAAATAAAATTAATTTGTAGTCCAAAGGGAAAATCCAGCATTTTAGGTGCCTCTATTGTGGCAACAAGGACTTTGAAATGCTCAATTTCATATGCAAAAAGAAGACAAACTTAACCTAGACTTGAAGTTTCTAGTTTTGAAAGCTTGTAAGAAGTGGTGCATAATCAGGATTTTGAATTTCATGTTAAATGGAACGAGATTTGCTTATTCTATATGCTTATAACTCTATTGAGTTTACTTACAGGCTCTCAGATATTGTAAATCAACTTCAAAATGCATATTATCAAAACCAACTTTATGCATAACAGAAAATTAAATTTATGAGATATTATCCGTTCGAACCTACAGTACTTCAATGAGAAAAGTTTACATGAAACACCTGCACTACTTCAACGAGAAAAATTTATATGAAACGGGTTTATGTAACCCATTTCTTATTTAAGTTTCAATTGTAATTTGGAGTGTGTCGTACTTTTTTTCCTCCCTGAAGTTTTATCCCATTAGATTTTCTTCTCCACGCCGGACCTATTATTCATGATGATTGATTAATGAATTCCCTTTTGGTCTTTATTATAAATAAATAAATAAATAAATAAATAAATAAAACCATCTCTGTTTTTCTCTCTCATCACAATATACATATAGAAAACGTGAAAACCACTAAAACAGCTCATAATAATAAGCTTGTCGTCACATCACGACTAAACAACAACTCAAATTCATTGAGTTTGCAATAACTCTCAACTCTCCCCCATATCAATGCCACGAGAGAAACATGAAAACTAGTCAAACAATTCATAATAACAAGCTTGTCGCCACATCACCACTAAACAACAAGAGTTTTTCTATTTAAACCCCACACTTTCCTTTGTTTACTCAAACTTAATAGTTAACCCTACTACACCTATATATACACCCCAGAACTCTTCATATTAAATATAAAAACTCAACTCATTGAATTTGAAATAACTCTCAACTCTCTCCCGTATAAATGCCAAGAGAGGGTTGGTTAAAGTCAAATGACCACATGAAAACAAGTTAACTAAGCCCTGAAGCAATATATTCAACGACGAGAGCGTTGGTTAAAGTCAAATGACCACATGAAACCGGTTAACTAAGCTCGGAAGCAATATATTCAAAGTTCAGAGTAAGGTGGGGCAGAGAGCAAATCATAATTGTTATGTGCCAAACAAAGGAAACCGCGTTGCAATCAGTTCGACAAAGTTGATAACATTCTGTCCGACTGGGACTTATTATGATGTGGCCATCACAATTCTGTCAAACCTGGTATATGGGGTCTTGTGCATAATTCAATAGCCTGACCCTGATATGGACAAGAAAGAAGTGGACAATAATGATATCATGATTGAACATCTCAGCCAATTATATACTGACTCAAACTTCAAAGTCAGACACAGAGAGAGAGAGAGAGAGAGAGAGAGAGAGAGAGATTCAGACAGGAGAAATCAAGAATGAACTATATTCATGCTATTAGGTAGAAGGCTAAATACTCTTTTTATACACAAAGCTCAAAGCCAAGCTATATTTCTATACCATTTACTCTACATATGACTACAACAAAGGCAGCGCCAAATGAATGACTACAAATACAGTACAAAAACTGAAACTAAAAAAAATAACTATAGAAAAGCACTGCCTGCAAGGCCATGGTGCAACAAATTATGAGCAATGTGATCCCTAGCCTGCACTGAAGTAGCAGACCTCAAACTATTCTCAGGGACAGTCTCATCATCAAAGATATCAAAACTTAGATTAGCATCAAGCTCTTCATTCCTCATGGCACAAATGTTGTGCAAAACACAGCAAGCCCCAAGCACCACTGGCAAGTCCTGGAGTTTGACCTCAGTCCTCTTCTGCAAGCAAGACCACCTCCCTTTCAACTTTGCAAAAGCATCTTTAGCAACCCTCTGAACATCTCCAATTTTCTCATTGAAGGCATGTTGGGTCCAAGTAAGGTTCTGGTGGGTGTAAGGAACCAAAACCCAATCTGTTAGAGGGAACCCAGAATTTCCCACAATCCAAACATCCTTCAGAAGGCCCCTGTTGGCTCTCTGGAACAAAGCTGACTTCTCCAAAACCTGGTCATCAGGCATAGAACCAGGCCAGCCAATACAAACATCGGTAAAAACACCTCTTGGATCAACAACTCCTTGCACTGTAATGGAGTAAGAGGTCTTCTGGTTGCGCTCTGTGTGCCTCTTGTTGAAATAAGCTGCAACATTCACCTTTGGAGCTATAATTGGAACATGGGTTGTGTACATCGACCCACCAACATTTGGTATTCCAGAGCTGGCTTCAAACTCCTCCTTGATACCTTTCATTCTGTTCTCGTCAGGCCACTGAAGAAACTTGGGCATTAGAACAGTCTTAATAGCAGAGCAAACCTCAAGAACCAGCTTGTGACAGGTGGAGATGCCCAACCCAAAACGTTTCGAAACCAGCCGGAGCGGCTCGCCAGTAGCCAACCGCCATATGCAGACCGCCACCCGCTGCCGAACGGGAATCGCGTCCCGCAGCATTGTGTTCTTCTTCGTCACGGCTGAATCAAGCTCCTCGCAGATCATGTCAAATGTGGCCTTGCTCATCCGAAACGCCTCCCGGAACTCGTCGTCGGAAACGTTTGGATTGTTGTACTTATCCCACCAATCTTTGTTCCTGTCCTTGACCCATAGCCTCCGGCTCGGACCCGCCGCCGGAACAGCCGACCCCGGCTCCGAACCCGCACCCGAATTCGCAGTCTCGGCAACCACCGCAGCCGCCGCAACTGCGGATTGGTGAGTCCGTTTCGCGCGGGACTGGTCCAATTCGTCAGATTGAGCATGGTTCTGTTGAAGATCAGACAAGTACTCATTCATAGCTCGAGTCTTCTGCCTGTGATTGGCTTCAAGGATCGATTTTTCCTGCTGGGTTTGAACAAAGAACTCTTCTTGCTCCTGCTTCTCTTCCTCATCCAGCAAAATCAGCGTGGTGAGTATGTCGCTCATTGGGCCATGGCTGTTGTTGCTGTCGTCCTCCTTTCTTCTCCGCTTCTTCAAGCCACCCTCTCCATTTATGTCGAAATCGTCCATGTCAGGGAACAGAGTGTAGAAATGGGAGTAATCTTCTTGACTAAGAAATGGGAACGATTTGATTTCCATGAAAGGCTTTGGATTGGTGTGAAAGTGTGTGAAGAAATGCCTGTGTGAACTTGAATTCCGAGTTTGGATATGAACTGGAGATGATGATGGAGAGCTTGGTTGGGCTCTGGTCATATTTATATATTTGTGGGAGGAGAGGAGGGGGGTTTTAGGAAGCGTGTACGCAGATGTGAACGCGGCGTGGAGGGGCTTTGACGGAGACTTGACTTTTTTTGGATTGGTTTGGAGAGTTGAGAGAATTTACGCGGTGGGATCTTGGGGTTTGATGGTTTTTTGTATAACGATGGGAATAATAAGGGAGGGGAGAGGGAGGAGGGGAGAAGCTTCGTTTTTAGGGACTGAGGGAAGGAAGAAGGAAAGAGCAAAAAAAAAAAAAAAAAAGTGGAGAATAAGTGAAATAGTGACTTTGCTTGTACTCAATTGCTAAACAACTTTTGTTAGTAAATATATATAAAAAAGACCCCCACTAAGATTCATTATTTTCCGTTTTAGACACGCTTAAATTGTCATTTCAAAGAAAGCATCATGTTTCACTTCTTCACTGATAAAACCGTTAGAAACCTTAAAAAGTAAATTCTCAATACGTGTAATTATTTGCAAGTTATGAGGTATCACGTAAATGTAAATATTTTGTGCCAAAAACTATTTGAAACTAAACCATTCGAATTCGAGCCATAAAAAGTTTAAACCAAACCGTTGGAGTACTTTTCATATAAATTATTGAGGTATTTATAGAATTTCATAGATGGTTTGTATTTTAAACATGCAACTGTCATATTTTTTTAAAACAAAATCTAGCCACAAATGACCATTATAAACAATACAAATTTATAAATAAACTCAATTCTAGACATGTATTTATAAAAAAACCCAAGCACTATTTAAACATAGAAATACACCCAAAATCAACAATTGTATATTTTTTTTTGTGTGTTTATAAATGAGTTTTGAGTGTGTGTAATGATGGGTTTTGGGTGTGTTTATAAAGTGTTTTGGGTGTTGGGTTTTTTTATAATTTCAGCCCCCATTTTGGGTGTTTTAGTGAAACTCTCTTATAACAATAGAGCAATCTCACATCAAAATTAAGACAATATGGTGTGGCTCCACTAACAATCGCACAGGATCGAAGAAACTCTGACATATGCATTCCAACTAAGATTGCAACCTCAAAATAAATTTTTTTTAAAAAAAAAAAGAAGATAAAACTTGAAAAAACCAAGTCATAACGATACAAATAAAGCTTTCACCAAGGAAAGATTAAAAACTTTCACAAAGGATAGGTGAAAAGCTCTCACAAAACGAGTGGTGAAAACCACACAGAGCACCCAACAAGTCTTTGTAACTTAGTCCAAACATAAAGAAATCACAAAATGAATGGTGGTAGAGATCCGACGTCAAAATGCATGTGGAGATTCGATGCCGAGACGTAGCCGTCTCTGATGGTTGGAGGAAAATCATAACAAAATGAAGACAAAATAGAGGAAACCTTCTGTCTCTGAAAGTGGAGGAAGAGGAGAAGGGATGAAAAATAGTAACTTCATTCCCTCTTAAAGTGAAAACGGCTCTATGAATATTTCTTGGGTGGGAAATTACAATTAAAAGAATCAAATAATTATTTCCTATTCCAATAAGTATGTAGACATTTAGGAGGCACCGATCTTCAAGGTAATTCGAGCCAACTGCAGTTTGGCCAAGCCCACAAACTGTGTGATGTATTGACTTGCCCCTTCCATGATATAACCCAACTGAAATGTTGTATAACTAACACTCGTCTTCACAAAAGAAACACATTTCTTTGGCAAGTAAAAATTATAAATTCGAGAGAAGTAGAAAGTGAATATGATGATTGTAGAAGGGATGAGAGACGTGGGATGATAGAAATTATAGAGTGATGCTAAGATCCAAGGATCACCCCTTATTTATTATTAACACACAAAATTCAAAATCCAAAATCCAAAATCTTCTAAATTAAGAAAGATACTACAAAATTTACAAGGAAATAAAAAATATAGATGATCCAAATTAATTCTAACTAAAAATAATAATGATTTTATTGATATTAACATCCACCAAAACAACGGGACTTACACACCTAACTCTCCCAAGCATAGCTGTTCTCTAAAACGGTGTCCTGATTAAAAATCAGGGGGCAAAAAGTGCAACTATCGTAATTGTAGGTAAATGCTGCCTTTTTAACTTTTTAACTTTTTATTATTATTATTTTTTATGTTTTCATGTGTAATCATTGTTAGTATTTAATGCTATTCTTATCACATTTGTGTACCAAATTTTCATACAATTTTATGTGGCGGATGAGGTGAACATCCACATCAATTAAAATTAATTTAACATTTCTTTTATTTTATGATTTATTGATACTTTTTAATTTAAAATGATATGAAAATGTGATATACAAATGTGATAAAAGTGGCATTACTCTTTTTAATTATGTGTTCTATTATTGTGCTGTGTGAACAATCTAAAACAAGATCTCAAATAAATACTAAAATGGATTTTTGATCCTTTTTAATGAAACTCTACCACTCATCTCACTTTTCCTTTTATTTAAGCTGATCCCATTAGTACAAGTGATAGTCTAAACTAGATATTAGGGGGTTTCTCACACACACACACACACACACACATACACACACACACACAACTGATGTCATAGGTGTTCGAACATGAGATCTCCGGTCTGTAAATCAAGACCATTTTCACTGGGCTAGATCCCTTTTCCTAAGATGATCCCATTAGATTTTGGTAAATTTACAATGACTAAAATACCCACACACAAAAATGACAATTACTGTGTTCTAAGTTTCTAACCATGTAAATTTATTTGCTCGTGTCGCACATGTTTTTCTTTCTTAGCTTTTATAGTAGTATTGACTTCATTTGTTTAAAAATGGTCCATCGCTTCCCATTGACCAGCAAATTAATGGTCAACGTTTTCATTTTGAAATTTATTGATTGATAGTTACCTAATTATATACGTACAAGTTTGAAGACCGGCGCCGTGAATCACACTTGCAATAGAAATTGTTTGACATTCTACATATCGACATAAACATCGCAATCAAAATCCAAATTTAAAACAAATATCCAAATAATTTAATTGCTCATATTAGGAAATAAAATAAAATATGAATATATACTGAGAGCTTCCGTTGAGGTATTCCTCAAATAAGCTTATTTGAAGGGCACTCTTATAGGATCTACTCCGCCTTGTATTTCATTAATATAAACCGTAACCACACAATTAAATTATTGAAATTTAATTACTTTTTTGAAGTACTATGTTCATTGATTTAATTAGTTGCAACTAGATATCTTAATGATTTTCAATTTGTCTTTTTTTTTTTTTTTTGTAAGGATGACTTCTTTGGTGGTCATCCCCTCATATTGTTTTATTAACTTGACTTGCAGGTCAACTCATTTCTATACATATGAGTCTTCATATTTGATCAAGTGGTTGAAAAAAGCCAACGCTTGTTGTTATTATTAATATTTTCAATAGTCAATGCAATGTTATTCAAAATTAATCAATAGAAGCATGAACATCATTTTGGAGAAGGGGAGCTATGGTGCCTCCTAAGCCCATACATGATCATCAATACAATCCAATGATCCATAGCAAGTTTAGCTTAAGAGTGAGTGACAATATTTCAAGCTCTGAGATTATAGTCAAACACAAGAAGTAGACCTAAACTGCCTCAAGAAGATTTGTGATCTTACTCTATCTTGGCAACATTATTGTATATGTGTTAGTGTGCGCGTGTTTTTTTATATTTTAAATTTATTGTGTTTATGTGATATGTATAATTTACAAATGATTATATATATTAGAGTTAAATTGTAAATGACGAAGGCGTGTGACATGAAAGTTTTTTTCATTAATGTCAAAAAAAGAAAATTATTGTTTTTTTGTCTTGACCAACAAAAGAAATTATGGTTTTTGTTGCTTACATTGTCGTAGGGTTAGACTCCTATTTTCATATTATATTATACACATACTATCAAGTTCATAAACTTGCCACTTCAGCATTTTTTTAAAGTTTTTTTTTTTTTTAATGGTATAGCATTTTTGTAGTTGAACTTGTCATTGTGCTTAAAATAAATCTGTTGTTCGGGCAAAAAGTAAATAATTACAAGTGTATGTGTATGTGTACTTATAACATACATATTTTGTAATTGCTTATATCTATACCAATTTTTACAAAACTTGACAACTGGTGAAAGTTCTAGGTCTCAAAATTATCCTTTCATACCTCATATAACTCATACTTAATAAACAAATAGTATATAATATTAAGAATTCATTAGATAGTTTTCGCAGGTAAATGTTTAAAAAACACAATTTCATTATAATTTTTTTTTTGGGAGTTTCACTAATACACCCAAAATAGGGGCTGAAATTATAAAAAAACCCCACATGCAAAACACTTTATAAACATACCCAAAACCCATTTATAAACACACCAAAATAATATACAATTGTTGATTTTTGGGTTTATTTTGGGTGTGTTTCTATGTTTTAAATAGTGTTGGGTATATTTATAATTTCATGTCTAGAATTGGGTGTTTCACTAATTTTGTATTTTTTTTTTCTTCATAAATTAGGCACAAGGCCATTAGCTGTAAAGGGCAGTACAAGAACAGATACAAAGACTCATTTAGGGTTGATACAAATGCAAAAGCGCAGTAACCACAAAAAGTTATCTATATAAAGGGAAGTTCACTGGCAATGACATCAACAATAAAACTCCCATCATAGCCACACATGGCCTGAGTGAATACGGTAAACAATACCATAAGCCTAGAAAGATCAGGCATAGAACACCATACGCCTGAGCGCCTAAACTACAAATACAACAAAATCTTTAACTCTCACAAGTAACCTCGTCTGTTACCATATGTGAAAAACAATTTATTTTGGCGGGTAAATGTGTGAGAAATAATTTGATACATCTCCACCAAATCTTTTTGAATATTGCATGGTCGCCCAAAACGCGAAGCAATGGCTCATGTTTTTTCTGAGGATTTTAAATTTCTTTATCATTATTATATTATATCTGCAAAACATTGCGAGCCAGGAAGTGTACGGACTGGTCAAAGGCCAACCAAACCAACCATCGTGAATTTGCGATTCAAGGTTCACAAAGAACACAAGAAAGAACAAACAGACAATAAACCCAGATGAGCAGCTGCTCTTCCATGGCTTCCCTTCTCATCACACCCCCCACTGCTACTCTGCAACTCAAGGTAATTTTATCATTTCCCGCTGTGTCTTGCGGCCTCCAAGCACCGATATTTCGATTTAATTTTCTTAACGTTATAATTTTGTTTTGCTTTTCTTATTTTGGGTCGGTCCATTTGTTGATTGCAGGAAGATCGCATGAGGGTCGGCACTGTAATAACGAACCCATCATCCAAAATTGACCAAACTGGTCTGAGAAATTCTAGACGTCATGGGCGGTGTTTTGTGACAAAATCCAAGATGACCGTTGAAGGAGATGTGCTTGAGAAACAATCAGTCAGTGTTCAGGACAAAAATGGTGACTCTCTTATTCTTTACTCACTTCATTTGATTACCACGACTTGCTTGCTAAGTCGGGTCATGGAAATTTCAGCTCCAAAAAACAAAAAGCTTTGGAAATTTCAGCTCAGAGAAGAAAAAAAAAAGTTTGGAAATAAACATAATTTTTAATGGTTGTTTGTGGTTCAAGGACTTTTGTTTGTGAGAGATGTTGAAGAGATGCCCCATGTTATGGAATATTAAGAGCAAAAAAGGAACCAAAAGCTTGATTTGTTGCCTGTTGGCCATGGCAGACTTGATTCTCTTTGATAGTACATATACATTCTCTGTTTCTCTCTGGCATGAAATCTTACTTGGTTTATATGCTGATACTGATGCAGATTTTGGAGTTGTTAGTGTCCACCATGTTGGATTGCTGTGTGAAAACCTGGAAAGGTCGCTCAGCTTTTATCAGAATCTTCTTGGTATTGCTCCTTTTATATATTATACATTGTAAAAGTACATGACTGTATAAAACTTCTGGGATTGAAAAACAATGCTTTGATAAAAACAGGTCTTGAGATAAATGAGGCTAGGCCTCATGACAAGCTTCCCTATAGAGGTGCTTGGTTGTGGGTTGGTTCTGAGATGATTCATCTTATGGAGCTTCCCAATCCTGATCCTTTAACTGGAAGACCTGAGCATGGAGGCCGCGATCGTCATACTTGTATTGCAATCCGAGATGTGGCTAAGCTGAAAGCAATCCTTGACAAAGCTGGCAAGTGTTAATTTTCTCATCTGATGTTGTTATTTCATATATGATCATATCTCAAACAGATGTTGATTTTCAAGAGCAATCCGGGTAGCTTACATTGCGATTTGCTACT